TTAAAACCTTTTCCTAAAGTTAACCAAAACCAGGCAAGTTCACGCCAAACTGAGATTTTCTCCCACACAACTCCAACAAGTTTGAAAAGATTATAGCATGTACACATGTCACAGTAGAGGCACACAATACAAATATGAACCTGAACATTTGCATATTACGGCCCCTATAAGAACAAAAAGGAAGCACTTTAAAATAAAAAGATTTCACATTGCTACATAGTGTTGAGAAATAAATTAGTATCCTATTTACCTGATGATTTCTAAGATTCATGGTTGCCTTTGTATTATCCAATGAGTGATTAGTCAATGTATTTATTCCCATGAGTTTAGTACATTCGGTACAGGATACTGACTGAGACAGAAGTCTGAAACTGTTACAATGCACATCATTTAACCCCTCGTCTGGCTTCACATTGTGGCAAGGAAAGGTGTTGTTGCATTATTTATGACCTTGGCCTTCGCTTTGACTCATGATAGTTGTTGCAGGGACAGTGTGAATGTGTAATGATTGTGCACTGGCAGGGATCAAAGCCAATGCAGGACCGATCGATAGACTCTGGTCTCTCTCTCTGCATCTATTGATCAGCCTGTGTGTGCTGAGAACTAGACAGAAAATGAAGCCTGGCTCCTCATTACTCAAAGCAAGCATTGCCACTTTTGATGGAAACCAGCCCTCTTTTTGCTGACAGCATCTGCAATGTTGAAGAATGAGAAATACTAGTAAGATCTTTTGGAAAGGGATTATTATATGAAATGCCCTCTTCTCCCTCCGGGACACAAGCACAATGCAATTTATAATGTCTCTTTTAAATTGCAGCTTCTGCCAAAGTTAATAAGTCATTTCTTCTTTTACTTCCCAGACTGATAAAAAGTCTATCTTTAGCGGCCTTCAGCTGCAGAGGTTTGGATACACAATAGGTATTTTCTATCCTCAGCAGGCAAAAAGGATGGGTTAGAAAATTGGTTGCGTGACCTTGTGGAATAAAAACTCTATTACGCATTTGTGAATGCATTTGAGATTTGATATAGGCATGTGTACAGCAAGGCCCGTATCTAAGGAAAATCTTTGGCTTGTGTGAAAGACAATAAATCATCGCTAGCGTTGATACTGTGAAAAAAGGACTGGATATCAAGCCTGACACCTTCTCCCTCACTTTGATGGTATCTGCATGGGATTTACATTATAACCATGGCAAGGCAAGGCAAGGCAAGGCAAGTTTATTTATATAGCACTTTTCTGTACGTGACAATTCAAAGTGCTTTTCAAAACAAATTAAAAGACTTTTTAGGAATAAATACAGTAAAAACACATTATATAATGGCATTTTACAACAGGCATTACAAAGCAAAGATAATAAAATAATAAAAACAAACACCACAGGTATACAATACATGTTTAAAAGGCATACTGTAGTGGAATCTTTAGGATTGTTTTTCCCCCTCTCTGTCAAACCCACAAAGGCACATATACAGTATGCATAACAATGTAATCAGGACAGCACTTTTTCTGCATGTAGAAGACTCGGTCTCAGGCTGTAGCCATCAACTATGGTAATCCCCAGCCCCTTATATCATTAGGAGTTCATCTAAACTAAAGAGAAATCAGGCAAATCGTATTTTCGAACACAGTCTATGTTGACAAGCATGAATACTGTTTGCATGATCCAGAGGAATTTACATTTAATTTATTTTCAGTTATGGTATTAAACTGGGGAGTGAAGTGGATACAAGAAACAAAGAGGGAACAAGGCTTTCATAACCAAGAGCTGTTTGATAAAGAGTGTTGTTATAGAAATAAAGTGCACCCAAAGCTTTATATCTGCCCTCTTTTCATTCATTTCCTTCTCGTTTGATGATTACAGTCGACAATCCCAAACAAAACAAAAACACCCAGCCTCGCTCATTTTTAATCCTCATATGTAACGTGTTCATTTCTCAGCGGGGATGTAAAAAAAAAAAGTCTTATGGCGGTTCCTCTCCTGCACGATTTGGATCGGAAATGATGTAACTTCATCTTTTCTCCATTCCTCTTTTACAAAACACTTGATGTTGAGTTGCCATGGAGATGAGAATTGCAGACAAAAATGTCTTGCACTTTAACTGAGAGGTTTTTAATAAGAGCATGATTAACGTTCTGCTCAATATTAACTGTCATGCAATACATTGAATTTACAAAGCTGAGTTAATAAAACACCTTAGTTTTATTATATAGCTTAAGAAAGGTACTGTGCCTCCTGGCAGCATTTTAATAACAAACTTACAACAGTGTCAATTTGTTTTGTGGAGCGAGCTTGTCATACGATATGTGAAATATAGGACTGCATTTAACACTTTATTCCGCATATTTTATCTCAACTTCTAAATATTCATTTGGAAATCATGACTGGTCAGATATCAGGAATTTCACTCCACCTTTATCAGTGAAAGAGAAGGCAGCAATTGATCACTTTGGAGAAGCGTGATCAAGAGAATATTTAATATTGTTTTCAACTTTCAATTAATCCACGTCTTCACCTTAAATGTAAAACATGTCTAAATGTAATAGTCTGTTTGGGTTAAGTTCAGAGGTCAAGGGTCCTTTCATTAAGATGGCACCAGCCAGGATTGGCATTTTATGTTTTCTTTAACCATTTAACTGTAGATCCATGTTCTGTGTTTGAAGTCTCTTGTTCACCTTTTTTAAAGATATTAAGACTTTGTGTAAAATAGCAAGATAATCTGACTAACGCAAAGGTCACTGCACCTCTAGGTTGCAGAGAGCAGACAAATGACAGAACTAAAATAACTTTTCAAAGAAGTGTTCCTTTATGTCACGGGTAGGTTCCCACATGCCAGTATTTTAACCCAGTGGTTTTAGGTGAAACATTGTTACTTAAAAGTTTAGCAATGTGCTTTGAACAATATCAACAAAATCTGAGATTCTAAAAAAACTGCTGACCACACTGTTGTGAAAACGGCACTCAGCACATCTGAGGTTAGATTGAGTTTTAGCACTTTTGTTTTCTGTGAAGTTATTTCACACTTTCCTGATGTGGCAACTCAGGATATTTTTATGCCTCTGTGCTTTCGACAAAAATTCGGTTTTTGGGTGTCATTCTGCCTCTCCCAGTCTTGTGAGCAGGATGTCGGAACACTTTGAAGGAATTTTAAACTTCTACTTGTTTTTAGGGGTATCCAGATCACTGTGAGCCTCTCAAAGTTTCCAGATCACTGCAAGCCTCACAAAGCCTCTTTTGGCCATAGTTCAAGAATGAATAAGCTTAATATGACAATTTCACACAACATTTTAAATGTTATACATTTATAAAGTGATGACAATTTAGACAGACTTCAGATCTCAGTTTTCCTTGATATATATTATATATATATAATAGAATGGATGAAATATAATATATATAAGACATTAGTATTTGTTCTGGTTATTCAATACAATATTAGATGTCCATGTTGTATTTACATTTGGTACTACAATTAAATACAATATGCAATTTGAGTTAGTATCAGCTTGTAAGACAATGTATATCGATTTATGTTTTTATCACATCTTAGAAAGAAGATCATTATAGATCACAATATTGGAATATAGCCCAGCCATTTCTTCAACTAACACATGTGATGAGCAGTTGAAGGATTACCTAACATTTGCTTTTCTTTTTGTAAATTTTACTCCACAGTAAGTGTGTTTACTTGGACATACATAAACCGCTTTTTCGTGGTGAAGCTCATACTCAGAATATGGTGTCTACTTAAAAACACAAACGGGATATTCAACAAACCTGATCAAAAATGGGTTATTGTTCTTATTCATGTCCATGTAAACACAGTCTATGATGGGTTTCTCTAAGCAGCGCAAAAGAGGTCTATAGTTTTTTTTAGATCACTTGCATCAGCTTTAAGAGGATTTTCTGAGTACATTTACAGAAGGTTACATGCAAGATGTTGCCATATTGGGAAAGAATAGGTTCAGCTTTTCCTTTGAGATTCACATGTGGAAATCTAAACCAAGGGTTGCACAATGGAAACGATTGGATGAATAAAAAGAGCAGATTGTGCCTTAGCCTTGAATCCCATTTGAACTCATTATGCATGTGCGCGTGCTCCTGAAGCTACAGACAGTGACAGACGTCTTTGATGAAGCTTGTCAGTTTGAATTACAAACAACACAGATTTTGCATTTGGTCATAGATCCAGCTGTAAAAAAGAATGACACTTGAGACGCTTCTTTGAGGCGGTTCTATCAACAGATAGCAGACAGGCTTTTCATTTCCTACTGGAAATGAGGTGACTGATCCCGAGGCTTTTGTGTGTTCAGTTAATAAAAACATCCCTAGACACACACACGTGTGCACATGCATAACTTAACGCTCGTGTGCTGGAGAGCGCGCATTGATTCACAAGCTGGTGCGCGCTTGTTTTCAGCAACACGGAGAGCAACTCCTACTCAACAACTAGAAAAACACAAATAAATATTGTTACATCTGCTTTGGAAAGCGAATATCTGCGCATGCACAGTTCAGTTTCTGCTGTCAGTGTTTCTGAAAAAAAAAACAATTACATCAGCTCAGTTTCTGTGGGAAAAGTGAAGCAATGTCTGATGACAACATGATCTGATGTGTCAAAAGTGTTAGACTGGGGTGAAATAGGGCATTGTGCGTGTTCTGATATACACAGAGAGAAATGTGTGACTTAACACAGCAGTACATAGATTCATGTCTGCTTATACCTGTTTGAACCCACATATATGCAACTTCGATCGAACAGGTGTGGATGTGATTTCCACAAGGATGTTCACCACACTTGAATGGAGGTGTGTGCGCTCGACATTAAGTGTGAAGTAAATTTCCGAATGGGAGGGTTGGACGTATGTCAGACATGTGCACGCCGTGGGCGGGTGTCGACGTGTTTGTAAAGTGAGAAAAAAAGGAAAAGGCTGAGGGGAGCGCAGCGCCTGTGTGGATACGCGGAGATAGGTGATGGTTAGAAGAGATGTGAGTGGCGTTGGCCGCGGCTCTCTGAAGCTGTAGGCTCTGGCCGGGAGAGGTGTGCCGCACTCTGCCACTTCACACCGAAAACCACCTGTATGGATGACCAGACCTTCGGCGCGATCCAACCCCGGTCCAACAACAGGCACACGGGCAGCAACTCGTCAGAGAGTCGGGGTTATGTCGAAGTGGAGAGGGGCGTCATGACGGCCGAAAACATGCTGGAGGACCCCGGGGTGCTGTCGACGCCTCACCTGTCCGAGGATCGATACGAGCGCGGCCGGAAGGGATGCTGCGAGAAGGTGGTCGTCAACATTTCGGGGTTACGCTTTGAGACGCAACTTAAAACTTTCAACCAGTTCCCAGACACGCTGCTGGGGGACCCCAGGAAAAGGATGCGCTACTTTGACCCACTGAGAAACGAGTACTTTTTTGACAGGAACAGACCCAGCTTTGATGCCATCCTCTACTTCTACCAGTCCGGGGGGCGCATACGGAGACCTGTTAACGTGCCCATTGATATTTTTTCCGAGGAGATACGGTTTTATCAACTCGGAGAGGAGGCAATGGATAAATTCCGTGATGATGAAGGCTTTATAAAAGAAGAGGAACGCATACTGCCTAAAAATGATTTCCAAAAGCAGGTTTGGCTTTTGTTTGAGTACCCTGAGAGCTCTGGACCAGCCAGGGGGATAGCTATAGTTTCAGTGCTTGTTATTTTGATCTCAATTGTTATATTCTGCATGGAGACTCTGCCGCAATTTCGGGATGAAAGAGACCCAGCACAGTGGGAGCCAGTGGAGCCCACAGTGAATGGCACAGCTCCCTACAAGCCAAACCCGTTTACAGACCCTTTCTTTGTGATAGAGACCCTCTGCATCATTTGGTTCTCTTTCGAGTTGCTGGTCAGGTTTTTCACCTGCCCCAGCAAAACTACCTTCTCCAAAAACATCATGAATATCATTGACATCGTCGCCATATTCCCCTACTTCATCACTTTGGGGACCGAGCTGGCCGAAAAGGAAAACAGCGGCGGCCAGCAGGCGATGTCGCTCGCCATCCTGAGGGTGATCAGACTGGTGAGGGTCTTTCGCATTTTTAAGCTCTCACGTCACTCAAAGGGACTTCAGATTTTGGGCCAGACACTTAAGGCCAGCATGAGGGAGCTCGGTTTGCTCATATTCTTTCTTTTCATCGGAGTTATTCTCTTCTCTAGCGCGGTTTACTTTGCAGAAGCAGACGACCCAGCGTCCAGCTTCACCAGCATCCCGGATGCGTTTTGGTGGGCAGTGGTCACAATGACCACAGTCGGATATGGAGACATGCATCCGGTGACCATTGGTGGGAAAATAGTGGGGTCGCTGTGCGCAATAGCAGGCGTGCTTACCATTGCCTTACCCGTGCCAGTGATTGTGTCAAATTTCAACTACTTCTACCACAGGGAAACTGACGGAGAGGAGCACCCGCAGTACGTGCACACCAACAGCTGCGAGCACCTCCCCTCGGAGGAGCTGAGGAGGTCGTGTAGCTCCTCGTCCCTCAGCAAGTCTGAGTACATGGTGATAGAGGAGAGCATCAACACCGCCTTCAAACAGCCCAACTTCACCACCGAGAACAACCAGAACTACGTGAACATCAAAAAGATCTTCACAGACGTGTAAATGAACTCCAGAAGGCATCATTTATGAAGCATGAAGACAGCCACAATATTATTTATTTTTCTATATAGCCTATAGCCAATTATAATGTGTCAGTCCATATCTGTGGATGAACGTGCGTAAATGTCCGTTTTAACAAGTCATTTATTATTATTTTTGATGTAAGCAAGTGAGAAATGTTGCTTATACGTGTCTCCAGTGTAGATTCAAACCTTTTGAGTATTTCTCACAAATCAATAAGTGTTGATATGACCCAAAACATTTGCACTGGAATGTTTGTTTTACTTTATGCGGCTTGTTACAACTTATATTTGTGCAGTGTAGGCTATAGTGCCATACGATGCCTACATATCGTGATGTTAATTCAAAAGTTGTTGTGGTTCATGATTGGGATACAAATGTAACATAGTCTAGCCTATATAGCATTAACCCTCCAGTCTTGTGCTTCGTCGAAACAAACGTTTTCATTGTCCAATAATGTAATGAATAGTATTTAGCCAGATGTCTGTTTAGGTTATATATAACCTGTCGCGATGATGGACTGTGTTCACATGATTATTCAGGTAAAAACACACCATGTGGTGTAGATGGAAACGCCTATCATAGTTTTTTGTAAAATTGTATTTTTATTCAGAACTGCCGATAGCCTATATTAAATAAAACGCAAAATAACTGATCCTGACTCGAAATGTAATTATAATCTTTCGTCAATCATTACTGCACGTCCAGGCAGAGCGAGCAGAGGGGAATATATGAAATATATAAAGTGTAAATAATCGTGTGTTTAAGGGTCCTGTGCGCGGTGGTGACGACAGGATGGCAACAGCTGGATGAATGGAGCGATTGCGCGCGCAGAACGTCCCGCATCGTGCTCCTCGCTAATCCCGCCTTGTGATGCAGTCTCCATGACGACGGTGGTTTCCTGGGTAACCCCCTTTGATGTAACTATGGCATTGTGCTGCATTTTTTTTACAAAGACTTTCCAACTGTGCTTCATTATCACCTCAGCGTCCTTGGAGATAAGAACTCAGATGCAATATCAATCAGCGCTATTACTAAATTAGCTTAAAACAGTGAGCTGGCAAACATGTTGAAATTCAGTAAAGAGGAATAATGCAAAGCTGCATGAGCGCTCTTCTATTTCCTGCTCCTCAGCAGCTGAATTTCAGACATGCTCCTTTCTCTGAGTTGGCATGCCAACTAAATCTGACGTCATCAACCTTTCACCGTCTCTGGTGCAAAGTGTCTGAGAGCCAAAGTAACCAAGAAACCAAACCTGTGAAACTTTAAGGAGTTTAAATTAATCACAAGGCTGTATCTCCTCCTTATGGAGAGTATGAGAGTTTTTTAAGTAACAATCCTAACTGTACTTGTATTCTAAGGGCTGCAACATGCAGTTCCATTATCTGTTAATCTGTGATCCAGGAATGCCATCAAATAAGTGTCTGTTATAATTTACCCCATAAAAAATTACATGTGGCTATGTAATGCTTTATTCAACAATGATGAAGTTGGAAACTATTTTGATCATTATTTATTTATTTTTGACTTAATTTATTCGAGCTTAAACTATTCATAGTTTATGTAAAGTCGTGAAAAGGTGTGCCCACTGAGCAGCACCAGGTGTTTTGACATGTATTGCTGTATAATTGGTACATCCAACATTTTAGGATTTAGAGGTGAAGACAGTTTCTATAAACTACTATTGTATCATTAAGAAGTTTAAATTATGCTGATATGCTGCTGGACTGTAAGGCTGTGTTATTGTGCAGGCTACATCAATCTGAAAATAGCTCAGTTCTGCCCTCTACTGGATAGACTGAGTTACTACTGCTGGCCAGGGTTTGCGTATATTTTTGCTCTTACATTAAAATCCTGCTAGTGTCTTACACATTTAGTTGGAACTGCTTGGAGCAGCTCTGTTTTAGACTCATATTGAGTTTAAAGCAACTTAACAACTCACAAACAATTTTGAACTGATGACATTTCAAAAGCTAGAGAAGTGATGTGATTCTCCATATTGCCCTTTATCTATTGTTGTCGACAATATCATTTTAATTTCGGAATGGGTAATAGTGCTGCTTTGTTTATTTTAGATTTTGTTCCAAGTTAATGATACCTCTCTGGAATAAATCATACTAAACCTAAATGACATGTATTTGTAGGACAATGCATTGTACATTTCTTTCTCCATGAATATTTGGCAAAAATATGATTTCCAATGCTTTTTGCTCTTGTGAGTCATCTTATGTGCAAGCCCCTCTTCCGACATCACCAATTCAGTTATTTTCTTGCTTTTATTATCATTATTATCATTATTATCTTCATCTTAGTGTCATTCAGGTCAGAGAAAAAAACACATTGAGTCAATGAAACCTCAAATAATTATTTTCAACGGTTTTTTGTTACCTGTCTGCCTGGAAATCGTCATGCAGGTCAGGAAACAACCTTTAAATTCCAAAAAGACACTGTTAGTGAAAAAAGCGCTGAAAACTCTTTTTACACACTTTGGCTGAGCACAAAAGAAGACTTGAAGGCAACATCGAATTCACTTTGCAGTAAGCTTTAGTGTTACAAAGCAAAATCCACTTCTGTAGAATAAGGCTCATTTTCTATAAAGCAGCATTTTAACAAAGACAGGGATTTGAGAAAAAGAGAATCCTTATATATTACACAAACAAACAGCAAATACGCACAGAATGCCTCCTGTTATTGTCCAATGAAATAATATACCGTTTGCATAATTTCTTACTATCTTCAGGCAGTCAAATTCATACATTCTGTAAAGGTAACTGCTTATTGAGTTTATTTGTATTCTTTGTTTGGTTTTGTCAATTTTCTTATGGTCAGATTTAGATCTAAATGACAATGATTTAAATGTCAAACACAGACTCAAGGGCTATTTCAGTCAGATGTGGTCCACTTTTGATTCGTGTTTACAAAGACTCCTCAAGGTATACATAACATTTAAAGAGGATGAATAGGAAACTAAAACATATAATATGACCATCCATAATTTTTAAGTGCAATTTACCCCCTGGTTCACTTTCAGGCAGAGCATCAAAGACCTTGGTCCTGCAGCACAGACTGCACTCAGCTCCAGGTGCTCAGAACTGCTGAGTCGCTTTGTACTCTGTCCTTACTGGAATGTAAGTCCTGCTTCAATGTATTTTTAACCAGGGGAAATGAGAACCTGTCTGCAGGTTAGCGAGCATCGTAAATCTTCCCCTGCAGAGTGCACCTGCAGTTCGGTTCTGGTTTGTGGAAAGGTAAGAATCACATCAGAGGTTTAGCTGTTTGACTAAATACGTGAGGGAATCAATGTATATTTAAATTACAAGAGGGACAAATCAGTCATTGCTGTTATCAGACTTCCAGGAAAGTTGATTCCACACAACATTAATGACCAAGATATGATTTTAAATTAGTAGAAATTAAGGACTTTCTGGTATATGTTCTTTCAATAAAATGTTTTATCGGTTTTTACCTTTTTATCAAACTCTATCTTCAAGGTACCAAAAGCTGGACTTTAGGACACATAGGCATTAATCAATATTCCTGTCTAAATAATGGAAAAGTTTCAGTCAGCTTTAAATTTGTCTTTCAACTTTCAGCTTATTGTTTCTGTTTCTGACACAAAAGCCTCTTGCTAATTTTGTTTCCAGGTGCAGCCGGCAGATGTTTTCAGTAAAAAGCCGTGTTAGGCAAATAGCCTTACACGCAGCAAACTGCAGACAGACAAAATGAGTGTCTTGCTGGTAAACGTATGGAGCATTTATTCATTAATGTGCGCTTTTTGCCTCATAATTTGGTAGAGATAAAATCGGCTGAAAGTTGAGAAACTATTGGACTTCCATTTATAAAAATTCCAAATGTAATTTAATCTTGCTGCATGTCTGCTGGGAGTTTAAAAGGATACTTGTATCTCTTTATAAGCAGATATTATCTCAGTGTTCTGCTGCTGCAAAGTGGCCAAAATAAGAAGAATGCAGCTTGAGGTGTGTCTAAACATAGTTTAAACTTGCTAACTTTCTTTGATTAGATATTGATATAATTAAGAAAATATGACAGTGTTTTAAATTTATTTCGATTTGTTTGTAAATTATTGCACTGCTGCTTGTGTTTAATAGCTTATTTTAATACATTTTAATTTGAAGTTATACTTGTTCCTCATAAAAGTGTATGGAATAATTTGTTTTCATATCAGTAGCGAAACACAAGTATTGAAGTTGGAACAACGAAGTCTCTGCAATGCATGAAAAATAAATTGACACCTAATTGTCTCGCTGTCCCTGTGTGAATGTTTGAGTGTGCGTGACTGTGTGAGAATCAGCATGCTCAGCTGTAAGACGGTCACAGTTGGAACGCCTGAATGCACCCTGTTGCAGGATCCTGGTCATTAGAAAAACGGAGCCTACTAGAGGGAGACAGGAAACCCAGTGCCGTGTAGAGCTGACATGCACTCAAATACACAAACAGACGCAGGAAACGGCAAACAGTCGGCTGCAGCTGGTCCTCTGACACTGCAGCTGAGAGGAGAGAGAGGCGTGATGCCATGCAGCAGCGGGCTACATCTGGTACGAAATGTCTGTCCGGAGATGAGCTTGTCATCGTTGAACTTTACCAAAGCTTGTTCTTCACTCATTTTCCCTCCTGCTCCGATGGTATTTTTACTTGATACAGGATTTGCCCTAAAACTGTAACTAAATACGGCCAAAAATAGAAACCCTGACATATTGCCATTATTTATCTGGGTGCCATTTATCCATCTGCTCTTCAGAGAACATGTAATGGCACTCTTGGGGCTATTCATAAAGGTTATTCTTCTGCATCAAGGCGTGTTCAGAGCTCTTAGAGAGAGGAGAGCCCAGAAAGTGTGTCAAGACAGCATATATTCGTACCCCCCACCCCCCCCTCCCAGTGGAGAGATGCACTAAAGCTAACAAGGAACCCAGTTTAATATGGGCAACATCCTGGAAATCAGGTCCCAGGTGTGAAACTGTAAGGATACAATAAATCACACATTTTACACTTTTTCTGCTCCCTAATTCGTCTTTTCTTAATAGAGCTGGCAGCAGGAAAATTAAATGGCTTGTCATTCTGCTGAAACTTCACCTTCAACATCCCAGCGGCACCCGAGACGCTGTGGATGGATGACAACGCCAAGGCTCCTCCCATTGCTACCCCTAGAGATGGTCTCCATAGCAACCGGATGAGGCTGAGCAAAAGATTTCCCTAGTTACATTGACAATGCTGACTTTGGAAAATGTCTGCAGAGCTTTAAGACACTTTTCAGGAGTCTGTTGGACAAGATTTATATTTGTGGAAAGTTTTGGTTGAGGAAAACTGTGCAGCCCTGGCTCGTCCCTCAGGTGACATGAGAGAGAAACAGTGCTGCATGACGCTGAGGCAAATATGTTGGTTCCTTGATTCAATGGAAAACAAAAACCCTTGGATTGCATCATCAAAGTGACACAGTATCTGTCACTGAAAATCCCACAAGTCGCATAATATGCATCAGCAAACAAACACTGCAGCTACAGTATTTCTAAAATGCTGTACAGCGACCTTAATATGCTTAGTGCTTGTGCTTTAAGTGCCAAATTATTGCGTACACTTTCTACATGAAAAGGGACTGCAACTTGCTAAAAATGTTCAAGGTTGGAGCAATATGCTGCAATAAGTCATTGCTGCAAATGATGCATAAGTCGACCGCTTTCCAGAGCCTCGCTGTGCATACATAAAGCTTTTTGTTACAGATCCACAAACAGTGTTCTGTTCGTCCTCTCAACCTCCTATAGAAGGTGTCTTATTTCCAGAATGACCTTGGTGTAATGCAACCTGAAGTGCTCCTGAAGCAGGCACTTACCTTGACTTGAATTTCACTCACTCATACAGACACGTTGTGTAATGCAGCATAAGGGTATCCCTGCATCAGTGACACTGACTCACTCACTGACTCATACTGTAGTCCCTCTGTTCAGCATCAGCTTAGCTCACTGAATTCAATGAAGCCACGTTTGTTTTTGTTTTTATGTGTGCTGCTGTGAGGAATTCGTAGTAAATGCTGTGTTTGTTTCAAATGTTGTAACTTTCGAATTGCACATCAATGGGTCAACTATCCAAAGGTAGCAAATAGTGCTCTGCACATTTAGATAATAGGTGCGTGTGTGCTGACCTCTGTGAGTTATCTGGGAGGTGTGATGCAGCTTGGCAGCATACCGCAGTGGTGAGTGTGTCCTTGTGTCTCTCCTGGTGTCTGGCTCTCTTCCAGTGTCCTCTCTCCTCCTGCTGGGTCTCAATATGATGAGCACGACTCTCTCTCCTTTCCCTCCCTGCTTTCCTCTCCTCACTTCTACTTGCAAAGTGCTCTCTCTTCCCTGTCCTTCCCTCCTTTATCTCCATCTCCTCCTGCCTCAGATGTATTGTTAGCTCAGGGGGCACATAGAAGGACACAGGGAGCTGCGTTGCT